CATGTGTGGGACATGCAGAGACACGTGTGTGCATGTGATGCACTTACCAACACATGCACACACGTGTGGGACATGCAGAGACACGTGTGTGCATGTGATGCACTTACCAACACAGTGGACGATGATAGCATCTCCTTTAGCAGCATGCGGATGAGTAACATCTCCCAGAACGTAGCGGATATCTGTGACGTTCGAGTCTGCGGAGCACATGCTGCTGTCATCTTCCTCTTCCTCCTCTTCCTCACTGTCTACAGCCTGCAGACACAGTGACTTGTAGCCACAGGACTCCCACCAGGCCATTCTAATAAAAAAAAAAAAAAACAGAAGACACTTTCATATCTATGTGAGTTCCTCTGAGTAAACAGGTTAGAAAAATTAAATATTGTACTTTTTTTGCTGTTTTTGGTCCTGTTGGCGTTTCTTCATGTCCTCCTGCATCTTGGCTCTCTTGGCCGCAGCCTCTTCCCTCCTCTGACGTCGCAGCTCCAGCTCTGTCTTGGAGAGAGGTTTCCTCTTCCTCGCTGGGATCCCAAGTGCTACTGAAAGTGAAACCTGATAAGAAAAAAATGAAAAAATGAACTCTAACAGGGATATTATTCAATAAGCAAAAAWTTTTAAGGGGCTATATCATGTAAAATCAACTTTTTTGAGTTTTAYATCATGTTATAATGTTATCCACTCGTCAAAAACATGCCCAGAGTCTTGATTTGACTCGTTCATGCATGTTTGAGAAATCCTATATTGAGAAATCCTGTTGTGTCCTGAGGCAGCCAGGCAGGGGAGCAAAAACCACTGGTTGGGACTAGAACCGCCTTTTAGGATCAGCTCCTCCTCTGGACTGTATCTGCGTTTCCATTGACCATGAAAATGCGCAAATTAGAATTTCGAAAGTAAATTTGGTCAATGGAAACACGTCAATTTAGAAAAAAAATACGTTTTTCCACAAAATGTTTATGCACTGGGGGAGGCGGGGCAAGATGGCGGAGGAATGAGTCATGTGTCATGTGGGCTCCCGCTCCGACTTTGCTATTTTGAGCATTTGGTCCGTCAGGATTCCACCCGAGTGATTCTTGCCTGGAAAAGTAGAAGAATGGCGACAAACTCGAGGAAAGGCAAACATTCCAGCTCTGCGGCTGTTAGGCCCAACGCTGCCTTGGAGCAGGCTGCAGCAAAAACCGGACTTTCTGCGCCCTCCTCTCCCTCCCGCAGCGAGGTGGACGCACTCTCCTTGAAGTC